GCGCCCGCGTCCCACTCGCAGCGCAGGAGCAGAGGGCTGGACCTGGAGAACAGGTTTTCCTTGACAGAAGAACCAGACAATGCCTGGATGTTCAAAGATTCCACAGGTAACCCCTCAGCTACCTGGTTGTTAYCAGGTTGGGTGCAAGGGTAGGAATTTGTAAATGGCATTTTTAAAATACTGCCCTTTGTTCCTACCTGAGTGCAGGAGGAGATCTCCAACAGRGTGGAGATGAAAAGCTGGCTAATGGCCTCCCCTTTTGCTTTTTTTTTTTAATAATTCATTAGAAGAGAAGAAAACTATGCAACAGGAAGATTCTGAGGAGGAAGACAAGATCCAGCACACTCCGAGGTCGTCTTCTGTGCAAGCCCAGAGACTGCCYGTGTTCCCAGGGATGGATCACTCTGTCCTCAAGGTGAGCTCAGGCAGAGCCCAGCAGGTGGGAGATAAACCAGTTCAGTAGCTGCAGGTGCTTTATAAGGCATTCCCTCACTCATTTCAGGGAATTTTTATGTTTTCATAAATCTCGAGTGATCTGTTCTGCATTCCTAGATGCTGGTTTTAAAGAACTTCTTTCTTTATTTTTCTCTTTAGGCCCAACTGCGGAAAAGACAAGAGTCTGAGAGCRCTGGTGATGTCAGCTCTGCTCAGCTCTTCAAATCCCCCAAAGCACAGCTCGGCACTCCCGGCAGCAGAGTGCTGCCCTCCAGTGTGGAAAAGGAGGACAGGTGAGAGAATCCCAGCRTCAGGAAGAGCCTCATGCTCTTTTTGGTGGAAGAAAGGGAAAAATAATGCAACAAGTTGTACATTCCTTTTTTTTTTGTTGTTGTTTCTGTCGGGAATTTTCATAATGGAAGAATAAAAAGTATATTTTTWATGTATCTTAGGTCAGAAGAAAAGTCTCCTCAGTGGCTGAAGGAGCTGAAATCAAAGAAGAGACAGAGCCATTATGAGAATCAGGTTTGAAAAGGTACTTGGGTAGGAAGGGGGGCTTTGCTAAGTGCAGGTGTGACAAACTCAGGTTTTCTTTGCTGTGTCGGTGTCACCTCTGTGCCCTTACCATGCCCTGTGTGCCAGGGGTTCCAGGCAGGGCAGTGCCTCTCCACTCCCAGTCACAGTCACTGATTCTCTGCACATCATTCTCTTGTGATATCCCAACATTTGAAAACTTTTCGTGTGTTTTCAGCACAATTCTGGGCAGCTCTTGAGTATTTAATGCATTAAATAGACAAGGCAAAAGTGACACTACAACAGAAAACACATTTTATGGGATTCCTATTCCAGCTGCCTGGCCATATCACATCCTTCCTTCTGTTTCCTTTGCAGACAGTGATTCTAACTAGAAGAAGATAAAGAAGTTTAACAGAAGCCTTAACTCATCTGAACCTAAACCCCCATGTCATGTTGCTGCTGTTTGCTTCCTGCCTCAACTGCTCTGTGCATGGTGCCTTCCTGTTTTGTGGAGAAAAGCTGCTTCGATTCATAGTCAAATACAAAGCTGTGTCTGTCAGGCTGGGGGGGGACAGTGTCACTTCAGACCTGCCTACCAGGAGAACCCCTGGATCACAGTCAGCACTTCACAAAGTCTTGGAAAAGTGAGCTATTTGGGAGTGTGGTGATCCAGGGAACTCCCCTCGCTGTGGAACAGACTCTGTAGGTGTTCAGCACTGAGATGTGACCTTTGGGAGATGTGTCTGGCTGGGCTTTGTGTTTGTTTATGAAAATAATAATTTTAATCAAATTTATCTTTTTTTTTTTTTTGTGAACAAATAGTAAGCTCCTATTTAGAATGAAGTTTGTGGAAGGTGAGAGTGGAAGAACAAATCATGTTTACTGCCATATTGAAAAAGGAAACTTGATTATTTTTTGTAAAATGTATTTTTGATTGGCTTATATTTACATGTGATCTGCTGATCTGGCAGATGGAGATAATTTTTAGATGAACAAAATGTTAACTTTTGTCACTCTTGAAGTGGTATATTCTGTGTTTTGTCAGCATGTGGAATAATTGCTTCATTGGAATGTCTTTCCTAAAAAGGATCAAGCAATAATGTCAACCAGTTCTCTTTGAAAAACAAAAAAAAAGTAAAAATATGTAAATACTGTTTTTATAACAAAAAAGGAAGGGAAGAGGGAGGATGTTACACTCATATCAGGGTTCCAGTTAATTGTTGAATGTCACTTTAATAGCAGTTTGGATAGTCCCACTTYATATTTTTATTTGTTAATCTGTAAATACCAGGTTTAAGTTTTTATTTTTATGCTGATTTTGTGGGATAACCTAAATGTGATCTTCAGTTTCTCAGAYGATTTCCTGTCCTTCCTTTGGCGAGATGTGCTGATAGCAGAGTAGACATCTCCTGGACCACACGGGTGTTTGGGTRTCCCTAATTCTCAGATATTCCCTCATCTCTGAACACTCACTTTGAAACACCAACCACCACGGCCATGGAAGACAGATTGATTCTTGCCCCAGATAAGTGCTCTTTCAGTACCCTTTAAAAGCGTAGCCCAGGGAGGGAGGTGATTCCAGGTGTTCCTCAGGCTCAGCCAGGAAAATGGGGAAGAGGGAAAGGAGAGCTCCTTGGGCTGTGCTCCCCATATCCTGCTGAGGGGCTCCTCTAGATAAAATCCATAAAGCACCAGCACTTCAGCTCCTTTTCCTCTGTCATTTTCCCAATCGGTGTTTCGGGAGCGCAGCTCCCATGAGATCCCATGGGGGCCTGTCCAGGCCTCTGTCAGTCAGGCTTGGAGCTGCCAAAACCATGTGCCAATTCTTCTCATGGAGGAGGGGGGGATTTGCAGTCCCAATCTGCAGGAAATAGCAGCAGGATGGCAGGAGACGAGTCCCATCTGCACATCTCTCGCTCTCATCCCGGATTTTGTTCTGACAGCAGCTCCCTGTGCTCCCTGGAGATGAGATGGAGACGTGTGTCTGATGTCAAAGTCTCCTCCGTGCTGCTTTGCCCTGTTTCTCGTGGGAGCTGTTGCCATTTTTGGTTTGGCAGCCCCTCAGCTCCTCACAGAGCAGCGATCCCCAGGATTCCTGATGGGAGATGGGAGATGGGAGATGGGAGATGGGAGATGGGAGATGGGAGATGAGGATGGGCTGTGTCGGATTCACCAGCTCCCCCAGCCCCTTCTCAAACCTTGCACAGATTTCCTTCCCCCTCCTTTAGATGATGGTGGAAAAGGCAACTCTCGGTGTGTTTTTTGGGATATATCCCGAGGGTTCTATGGGKGTGACACTCACCTGGGCCAGCCTGAGCAGCACATGCAGGTGAGGAGGGTGACAGTGGCTGTTCCCACTCACATCCAGTGGGGTCTGTTCCATCCCATACCCAAAAATCAGCCAATTCCCTGCTCACAGGAACATTCACACAGGCTGCGTTTCCCACTTCCACAGGTGACAGTGTTGCGTTCCCAACAGTTGGAGGATTTTCTGGTTCTTGGTCTGGGCCAGAAATTCTGTAACTGTTTGTGTTGAGGAAACTGAGGGGATTGACACGAGGTTTCCACAAAGCCCTTGAATGTGTTTGCATTTCCAYGACTGCTTGGACAATGCACTGAAATTACTGTATTGAGTAGTTTAACCTACTACTGAGAAATGTTTAATGCTTAAATGTCTAATTAAAAAGCATCTTTAGAATGTTGTTGAATGGGAAAGTGTTTTTTTCTGCTCTATTATTTCTTTATATTGTACATGGATTAAATATCAACTTCCTTCTCTTCGGGTTATCGCTCTGTAATAAAAGATATATAAATATGTTATTRCTTCTTAAATGATAGACTGTAATACACTTTATATAATTCTATTTTAATTCCAAATAATGCTTGTTGGAATTTTTTATGCTTTCACTTTTGTTGCCACGTGC